TACTGTGAATATTATTGATTTACCATGGTTTCTCTCTCTCTTATTTGTATGAGCAACAGTATTCTAAACATAAGAAACAGGAAGTTAATTTCTCGTACTCAACTTCGATAGCAGACTAGGGTTCAACCATGTGATTGCTCTAAGTATTATATTGCCTTTTGGTTCAAATTTTTACTGGATAGAATGAGATGCAATACAGATTGACTAAAAAGTTGAATGAAAATAACATTTCAAATCCAAATTAATTACATATCCAATTCAAATTAAGTACTTTTTTTTACCGAGAACATAAACTCATCATAGTAGATTTGAATCATGTGTATAATTAATTCAATTGTGTGTTGAGTACATATATTATGACCAAATTCATCTTACTAAAATAATTAAATCTTGATATCAAGCGAGAATGCAATATATTTGAACCAAGAGAAGCTTTAAAGTCAAATTATCACCAGATTGTTGCCATACTTTTAGTTCGTATTAACAATCTTTTTATAGTTGGTACCAATTCTAAGAACTTTTTTTTCTTGTTACCAATAACTTTATGCTAACAGAGGAAACAGACCACCCAGTTTTCATATTTTTCTCACACCATTAGTATTTGTCTTGAACCAGGCATAAGATTGTGAATTTCTATAGATATGCAAAGACTAGCCTACTGCACTCCGGTAATAGCTTGGTTACACTACCTAGACAGTCGAGCAGCACCAGTTCACAGGGAGCTGATAAGGAGCTATGCTTGAGGGTTTCTGCAGGTAAAATTTTTAATTGAAAACATTGATGATTTTGTTAGTGGTATGGGAATCCCATTAGATAGACTATGATAATTTTTGTTTCCTTCTGTGTTTAGAATGTTTGTCCTGGGTTCCATATGGCATATCTAATGAACCTACATAGAAAATACTGCAGTTTCTGCATTGAATAAAAAATTTTACAAACTGCTTGAAATAAAATTCTCTGGGAAAAGAAAGAAATGAAAATATCGCCTTCTACAAAATTTACCACTCATATGTGTTTTCATATGTACATGATGCGTCAGAGCATCTAAAGAACTGCATGCCTTCTTCCATTTTTACTTACCTGTTATCTTAAATTAGCAGTAAAACCACTCAAGCACCTTGCTGCAACATCAAGTACATTTTTGGTATGTGACCAAGGCCTATCGTGCACGAATCCTTTGTTGCCTAGGCAACATGGATCTTCAGTGCTCGTCAGGGCATACAAAGACAATTTCTTCAAATTCCGAATCCCTCTAATAACTGCGAAGCCAGAGTGGTGGTGGAGAACATTGTCATGTGTCCCTTACCTAATAGCTTTGCAGATTTCCGACACAGGATATTACATCCAACCTTTCCTTGAGCGCCACGAGATTCTTGAAGATCTGGTTTTTTTCGTCCCAGGTGCCATTAGCAGGCTACCGATCTTTTTCCCAATGTTCTATTGCTACTTCGCATATATTTGGATCGTGAAGAACAAAGATTTGCCTCACTTCTTTCGTTTCCATATGATGATGGGCTTGTTGTTGGAAACAGCCATGCAGATCATATGGTATACAAGCAATTTTTTCCCACTCATACACTATTCCGGGAAATTTGGAGTATACTACTGGGCGGCCATGGGATTTGCTTACATTTTTGTGTTGTTAGAGTGTGTAAGGTGTGCTCTTGGTGGCATGTATTCTCACATCCCTTTAGTGAGTGAAGCAGCATTTATACACACACTGTTTAATATGGGAGGGTTCCAGAGGCCATTCTAGAACTTAAATTTCTTTTGCTCTTTTCTTGATTTGTGGTTCTTGGATCTTCTTCAGAGGATCTGCCCGTTTAGTATTTATTCTCAATATTCAATAAATAACTTTATATTTTCTCTCAGTTAGAATATCAGAAGCTCCTCTTTTTTATTATCTTCAAATATGGAGAAACAGGAATGATTCAAAACAAGTCTTACTAAAATTCTACTGGGTAAGTATTTCCAAAATTTGAATGCAGAAATTTATTTTCCCCCGAGTAAAATTGTTATTTTTTTATCAACTGAATTAATTAATGTTTATCTCTTTTATTAATTGAAGTAGTTAAGGTTTACAAGTGTGAACCAAACGAATGGATTTAGCATTTTTCTTTTTTAAAAAAAAACCAGGATTTATAAGCAAAGTCTGTGAATTTTGTCCAGGAAAAGAAAAAGAAAAAGAAAAATATTTTCCCGTCAGCCAAACGGGCTTAAAAACACAAAACAAACATTAAAAGTTTTTGAATGCATAAATATTTGAAAAATGAGATAAGGAGTAATTCAAACAGAGATATCCACGCCACCTGTAACACTAAGCTGCCGGCATTATATGCAGAATCCTTCAGCACTGCCATATCTTATTCACTGTGCTTTTGTCTTTTTCTTCACTGATTCTTCTCACATCTCCACCAATAAGAACTCTTACTTTTCTCCAAAATCATTTCTTTTTCTTTTTTTCTTTTTCGAAAAACCAAACAGTAAAACTATATACCCGAAACCTCAGCGCCGGCACACCTTTGTTTTGCCGCCATATCTGAGTTTTTGTTTTTCTTCTTATCCACTTTCAAACTAGTTTTTCACCCTTCTTGCTCATTTCCAGCCCCCTCTGCTTTTTTTTTCCTCGCTGACCAAATAGGAATCCTCATGAAGAGCGAGAATGAAACACTAACCTCGTCTCAATCTCCCAAACCAAGAAGACCCAAGTCCCGTGAAGTAAGCTCCCGTTTTCTCTCTCCAACCTCAACTCCCTCTCATGATACACAACCAGTCTCGCCCCTTCGCCGGACATCCACCTCCGGTGAGACCAGGAAGCAGAGTCATCCTCATCGGAGCCTGGAGGACTCTGCTTCTATTAGAGGACTCTGGCCCTCAACTAATAAACCGCGTACTCTTGCTGATCACTTGGGCAACGATAGGCTAAAAGATTATCTTGATCACAAGTTAAGTAATCATGTGGGTTTTCCACTTTCCAGGCAGAGAAGTTGCTCTGAATTCAACAGGTTCGAGGGTGAGAAAGAGTACAGCATTAAAGAAAGTTACAGACCCTCTCTTGGCGGCTCCATGAGGTACACGGGGAACTTGAATGTCCCCGGAAAATCATCAACCACCTTATCGTCTTCATCCTCGTCGAATTACTTCACCGATAACACTATCCTGCCTGGGAGACTCTCTGTTGATGAGAACGTGTTCTGCAGAAGACCTTCAAGGAAAGATTCAGATGTATTTTCCACTGATCAAGTTCATACCCACGACTCAGAATCTGAGTACAGCAACAGATCAAGTCCCTCCGTCAGTTTCCGGAAACCATCCATGGAAGTTTCGTCAAAGTACTTACAGGAAATTCCAGCCAGGACTAGAAGAGGGACACCTACTTCGAATCCAGCATCAGCAGATAGTTCTCCAAGAACAAAGAAATTCAGCATCAAGAATGCGATCAGGAGGGCTAATTCTCTAACAGGATATGGCAGTGCTATGTCACAGTGGGCACTGTCGCCGGGGAGGTCAGGTTCACCACCAGTCTCTGTTGAAACCAAGTCAAGACCCATGTCATTTTCAAGCTCCAGCTTGAAGCCACCTACCAGTCCTTCGAAAGCAAAAGGTGTGGAGAAGTTACTGAATCTGGGGTTAATGGAGTTGTTTAAGAGCAAGAGATCTTCTTCTTTGCCATTTGATGTTGAGAGTGTTCATCAGCTAAGGATTCTCCATAATAGATTGATTCAATGGCAGTTTGCCAATGTCAGAGCTGATTCTGTGAATCTCAAGTTAATTACTCAAGTAGAGGTATGGAAAATTGCTCTATTTTCCCTTTCTTCTTCAGCAAGTAACTTGAAACTTTCTGTGTTTTGATGGGTTTTGCAGAAAAATTTGATATTTGCATGGGATAGTTATACAAAGTTGCAACATTCAGTGGTACAGAAGAAAATCAAACTTCAAAAGGAAAAGTTGGAGATGAAGCTGGACTCTATATTTCGGTCTCAAGTCAGTACACCATAGACTATACAAATCATATCGATATATATCTCAAAGACACATATATTAGATGATATAATTCAAAAGATTTTTATGACTGGCTGATACAATATTAAACTCTTTTAATGCTTTTCACATGTAACATCTACACGAAAGAATAGACGTAGATGGATCCAAACTATAGGTTGGAAACAAAATTGATTTTGGATTCGGATCTAAACAATCAAACCCATATAGGTAGAATGCATATATATACGTATATTAATTATCTTTAGATATATTTAGATTATCAGTGATAAACTTAAGCATTTAATTGTAACTTATGTATGCCTATATAAATTACCATATTTTGCAGATTAAACGTTTGGAAGCTTGGGGAGATATAGAAAGACAACACCTAGGAGCTCTTTCGATGGCCAAAGAGAGCTTACACTCTGTTGTTTGCAGAGTACCTCTTATCGAAGGTGCAAAGGTGAGTCAAATGGAAAAATTTTCGTGTTCTACCACAGAGTTATTCCTGCCGATAAAAACTCTTCTTCTTTTCATTGTTAATCAATTTCATGGATACTGTTGTTAATAAAAGTAAGCTTTTAGGTGGATTTGCAATCAGCTTCAATAGCGGTCAGACATGGGTCTGATCTCACAGTTTCCAGTATGTCGATGTTGAGCAGCTTTTCTTCCTTGGTAAGTAAGATGTGTTATTAATAACTTATTGTGTAAGGAACTAAGGTAAATTAGGAAAATAGAAAAATAATCTTAGGAACAAAAAAGAGTCACAGTGTCAAAGGGTGATTCGGTATATTCCATTATAACTATATGCGACTAGGGTTAGGATAAGATGAATGGAGAAATAGAAAAACAAAAGAAGATCGGAACCTGAACGCGATTATCAATCTGACGTTCAGACTGTTACAACTTCCTAGCACTCTAAGAGGTTCCTGCTTTTCTTTTTCCATCTATTTTCCTCGCCATATGCAGCTTATAAATGACAAGGTTTTTATGAATAAAAGCATCGAAGAATCTATCATCTTAAAACAACGAATCTTTCTTTTTCTTTGTCATCTTTTTCCTTTTCTCTGGTTGGGGTCATGAGCGAGGTTTGTGACATATTATTTCTCGGCTTATACTTATGTAAATAACAAAAGCTGATTGACCCTTGAAAACTCATTCTGTCAACAGGCTGAGAGGACTGTTTGCTTGATTTCAGAACTAGCAAAAGTGGTATCACAAGAAAAATTACTGCTAGAGGAATGCCATGAACATTTCAGAACCATATCTCAATTAATGGTAAACTCATTGAAGTTTTACTTTTGTGTTTAGAGCACAATATAAGTGTGTGTGTATATGCATATGCTCTTCGTGTTTATGTCTTGATAAGATTTTCATACTGCTAAAATTTTTTTCCCAACGAGCAGATTCAAGAAATGAGTTTGAAGAGTCAAATCATTCAAATGGGATTATCATAGCAGCAACAATTGCAGAAGAGTGGAGACAGGAACAAGAAAGGTCAAATTACCCAATTAGTTTCCGATATTCGGCACTTATTGTAATTTAGCTCTTAATTTTTTATTACAATTTGCTCCTTAATTTTTTCTTTTATTTCAATTTTTTTAGTATATTTTAACAGAAAAACTAAAAGAGTTCAAATTAATAATTTTATAAATTAGTAAAATTAATAGATTTATAAATTAATAATAGTATTCGGTTATTTTATTGTTATTGATTTATTATTTAGTCAAATTTATTTTTTAAATTTATTTTTTAAAAGTATTTAGATGTAATAATAATTATTTTAATTTTTCTATTAAAAATTTGAAAGAAACTGAGTATTTAAAATAAATAAAAAATATTAATAATCAAATCATAATAAAAAATATTTTTAAAAAAATCATAACAAGTGTTAAACGTTTGAGACTAATTTAATATTTCTTCAATCAACATATTTTATTATTTATAAAAAATTACGTTTATTTATTTTTTAATACAAGTAATTATAAAATTTACTGTGACTTTTTACTATCGTCTGACCGCTATTTGAATCTTACTTTTAAGAAACTCTTCAAAATTGAAATGCTAGCTATATTCTCATATACAATTAAATTAGTTTTTTAGGTGAATTTATGTACTTATTTTTAAAATTTGTAGCATTGTTCAATGATTTACTCTAATTTACTAAAAAACCCTTTATTTATTATCTTAACATTTGATTAGTGAGTTAAACAAGTTAAAAATAATTATCACAATCACTATAAAATTAATATGAATTTGAAAAAAAAAATTAGAAAATTTCTTATTGAATCAAATGAAGTTTCAAAGTCTTAGATATTATTTTTACTAATTATTCACTAGAGGATATTAATATTATTATCAAATGAATTCACTTGGGTTAAACTAAAGTTCTTTATAACATTGTAAAGTTTATATAACTCTTAGCACGATTTCATAATGCTACTCACCAACGATCGGAGTATAGTTGAAATTGATTTAAAAATTCTATTATCAGATAGATACATTTTGTAGTTAATCTTGATAGTACAGTTGTAATATTTAAATGTGTAAATGTTGTGATACGAGTAGGGTCGGTCAAATCATCTTAAATACATAAATTATTTGAATAAAAGTCAATGACCGTAAACTAATGTTAAAGAGATTAATCAAAAATGATTTAAGAGGAGATTAAATTGGAAAAATATTATTTTTCAAAAAAAACCATAATTTTTGTACAATATTCTCAAATGTATAGTTATATAAATTATTAATAACACAATTTTCTTATTTATTTTAAGTACGAAAGGTTATTATAATTTTTAAAATTTTAAAATATTTATTTTTAAATTTATTCTAAAATAATAATATGAGATATTGTTAATATTATTTTTATTTTTATTATTTTATTATTGTTCTATCGTTATATATATATATATATATATTTATGAAAAAATAAAAAATTTATTTTATTAGCATTTTTCTCTTAAAATAAATTATTTTTAGATGAAAAAATAATTTAAAGAAAATATATATTATAATTATAAAGTTATAAGTTTAATTTTACTCATTTTAAATTTTTTAATAAATTTTAAAATTTTTAATTAACAATTGAGAACAAAAAAAAATTAATTAACAAATGAAATAAGTTTGTATTTATACCAAAACGCCACAATTCCCCCAAAACTAATACAAAACGCAGTTTTTTCCTTCTCATTTCTGTCGTCTCCCTCATTCTCTATTCTTCCAAATTCCCTCTTTGCTCTCTCTCTCTCTCGCCTTCTCTTTCCAAAACCCTCGAGAAGAAGCCACGATCCATGGCCTCATTTGCTCGCCGAGCGGCGCAGATAGCTCAAATTTCATGCGCAAGAACTTCTTCTCAAGCAGTTTCATTTACTCAGCGCCGTGGTCTCGCTGGCGCCGCTGGTAATCTCCATGTGCACTTCCTCGTTTATCTACACACACACACACACTCACATATATATATGTATGTTTATGCTGCTGCGTATTTCTTCCGGATCTGCAGGCCCTTACGGCTTTAGCACTCGCAATATTTAAATAGAATTCACTTCAATCCGTGATCTGATTTACCTATGGATTATAACATAATTATCGCCGACTTCATAATAAATTTGGATGGAAGGAGATTATCAAAAATACTTATGGACGTGAGTACTTTTATTTGCTATTGGTCCTCTAAGGAGCGAAAAGTTAGGTTGGGTTAATACTTTTTGGTAGCTATTGATTCTTAAGTTCATGTTATATTTACATATATAGGACTTTGAGCTGAGGATATCTGATGCAATTATAACTTTTTTTGCTGGTGAAGTTTAAAGCTTGAAGTTAACCTATGAATAAAAACTTATATAATGTGCTTCCTAAATGTGTGAATTCTAATATGAGCGTGAAGAGAAGGTGAAGATGGTGGAAAGAAATTGCTTCATTTGTGGCAGTAATAATTTCAATTACCATGGATGGTGTTATTGGATAGATTTTATGCGTATGAATTTTGATTTCCACTTTTCTCACGGTTAAAGGGATATATATCTTAAATTTTGCATGGTTCTTTCTGAAATAATTTTTTTGATAATTTACTGATTTGTCAATTTTCTGCTGATGAACTTGTAAAGTTACTGCATAGTCCATATATCTTGCAATGTAATGCTTGATCCTTATGTATTTTTACTTCCATATGTTTTCTAGAACACCACGGACCTCCAAAGGTTAACTGTTGGCAAGACCCTATGAACCCAGCTAAATGGAAGGAAGAGCACGTAAGTCCCCTTTTGGTTCTTTAAGCACCACAAAGCAATCTCTCATTTCTCAAATGTGTCTCTGTTTGATATTATAAGGAAGAGCATGTAAGTCCCCTTTTAATATGGAGAGGAAGCTGTCTGCAAAAGCTTGTTGTTTTTCTTGCAATACATGGTCTCTATCGCATGCATATACACATGTTTCAAGTCTATGCTTTTATACTGCAAATTTGGATGCTGTTACCTTAGACATTTCACCTGCTTGGCATTGCCTATCTTGTACGCAATTTCTGCCTAACAGGGTTAATGAGCCTGTTTGTGCTTATGAGGATTATGATTACAGAGATATAACTTCAGCCTTATTTTCAGATGTTCTTTAGTAGGGTTTTGCATTTTGCCATTATGCACTTAAGCTGAGCAAATTGTTTACTCCATTATTCCTTAAATAGAGCAGGTGTCTGTGGCAAAATAAATTTACTATAGACTAGGCAAGACATGTAGATTTGAATTTCTTTGATTGGTTGTTATGTTTTTGCAGTTTGTAATCGTCTCCTTGTCTGGTTGGGGTCTACTTTTCTTTGGAGGATACAAGTTCTTTACTAGAGGCAAAGGCAAGAATGAAGAGGTATTCATACTCTGAGCTCTATTCTTTTCTTTCGTAATCAGGACTGTGCATCATAATTTTAAACATGACTAATTGATGGCAAATTCTAGCTTTGGTTCAATTTTTTCTATAGGAAAGGTTAAAAATGGCCGATGTCTTAATTTTAGACTTGTAAAATAAGAAATGCAATATTCATTTCCTATTAAGATTTCTTGTTAACCGTGTTTGAACTTGGAGTACCCATCCATGTATATCTATGGACTGTTTGAAGGTTAAATAAGAAGGAGCTGAGTATGCTTTTGGTTTAATTCCCATCTAATGCAAAGTTCTGATTCTCCCATTTTTTTACATTATGTGGGACATAATTTATAACGTGAGTTACTACCACCCAAAATATGAGTTAACATCAACCCAACTTGATTTTTTTTGGAATTCAATTTATAGCTTGCGAGGTGGGGATTAAATTCTCAGCATTAAAAGATTTAAAATGAGGAAGTAATAAGTTAAAAGACAATGAATTCCTGTTTTTATTATATATAGAATTATAGAAGAATTTTGGAAGGGGAATTGACTAGTAATTGAATGAGAATTGAACCAAACAATAAAGGCTTCTACTTTCTTTTTACATTTCTTGTTTTTTTTTTTTTTTGACGGTTACATGATATTGTATCCTCTCTGTTTTTATATTTCTCTTTCTCCAAAATAAAGTTCTTTTATCAAGAAAAGAACTTGTACCAGGAAAGTAATGAACAGCTTGCTCCTGATATATCAAGAACAAAAATTGATTAAGGTGTCAATAAATATGATAGCTCTTCAGCAATTTGAGCGTAGGAGAATGTGAAAAATGCCTCTTTTGCCTGGCGAGCTGTATCTTGTTCCGTAAAATTAATTCCTGAAACAATGTTTACGCAAAATGCAGTAGGACTTAGTTGTTTCTGATCATCAATCCTCGCTTTAAGCATCTTACAAGGAGCTTATGTGCTGGATTGTTAAATTTTTATAGAGGTAAACTATATAAAAAAGTGCCTTAATATGTTCAGCAACCAGAATTTCATTGAGGATTTGTTATTTCACCAGATCATGAAAACAAAGCTGCACCTCTCTGTCTGTAGAATAATAGCTCTTCTCTGATGTTTTCTTCTGTTTTGACAGAAAATGGTGGAAGCTGCACACTGAGGTTGGAGTTTTTAATTTCACAATGTTCCTGGTAATAATGTCATTGGTTGGATCTTTAATCACTGGAGGTTTCCATTTCTTTGTCAGCAGCATATACTCTGCTACACTCTCTTTTAATGGTTTCCGGGAGAGGTATCTGTATCGAAGGCTAAAGTTTATTTTTCTGGGAGTGAAATCACCCTGTTTCATCTGCTAGTCTGTTCAATATTTTTCCCTCCTCTGATGCATAAGCATTTATAAGCTAATAATGTAATCTGCATAAATGTGGCTTGATCTTATCCCATCTTATTGTGACAATCCGGTAATAATAATAAATTGAAGGTAATTAAATCATGAATGTAAAATGCATGAGAAACCATAATTGCTTTCCACGTCCAGTAATCTTAATCATTCACACGCAGATTGTTGCAAATTTTTAGTGGTCGGACCATGCACATCTCTACTCATCACAAGACACATGACCCAGCACATACAAGAAACTATCTACAGTAAGCCGTAGGACTTGAAAGTAGGCAAGAAAAGAAAACCCTTGAGCATATAGTTAAAAAAGCTGGAAAAAGAGCGGACAAGAGAAAAAGCTGTTGGACATAGTAAGTTTAAACCCCTAGAACTCATCCTCTTCTGTGTCTTCTTTATCTTCTTCCAGTTCTGGAATAGATTCCTTGAGTAGGTTTGCTTGTCCTGCTTCTCCTTCATCTTCAGTCTCCGCTACAAACATTTCCCTTCTCTCCACACCTTTCACGTCTTCATCTTTGCTTTCTTGTCTCTTCATGTCTCTGTTACTCATGTTCCTCCGGCCAATTTCATTAGTAAAGTTACCAATCCCAACCTCAACACTTGTGTTTTTCTGTAGTTCATTCCCTTTGTCCTTGCTATGATATCTATAAGCTTCTGAAATTCCATTCACTGGGTCTTCTGGAATTGTGCTTCCCACACTCTTTGCTCCATATTTCATGGAAGTTTCATCGTCTTTCCACATCAACCCGCTTTTTGCTAGCATCCGCCATCTCCTCCCCTTGGCTTTGCTTAAATTTTGCCTGCTCAAACTAAACCCTGTAGGGACTCGAGAGTTCACATCCATGGAGGTTCCCTGATCTTGTTGTGAATCCGCAAGGCTTCCTAAACGCTTATCTCTGGTAATCTTCTGTACTTGATGACCATTCATTGGCTTCACCTCATTTCCTTCATCTCTAGCTTTCATTACATTGTTATTGGTCTCAACGATTACCTCAGTAGCATTTTTAGCAGCATTTGCGGGAGAAACGCGATTGGCATGAATGCCAGTCCTGTTTTCATTCCCTTCCTCTGCAGTTGTCAAATTTCTTACATTACCTGCTTTCTGATCTTCATTTTTCCAGTCGTCCTCTGCCTTCACTGCCTCCGCAATGCTCTCATTTGTTGTCAGGTTTCCTGGGAAAATCCTAACCGGATATTCAATTTGATGCTTCAGTTCCTGGATTTCTGATTCTTTCTGTTTGATGATCTCTGTTAAGGTCATGAGTTGAGGATTATGTTTCCAGGAGTCTTTGTCTCTTAGCAATTCAATCTCTTTCTGTTTTTCCTTCATTGCATGGGAAATAACCTTTTGTTCATCTCTGAGGGAGTCAATTGTAGACTGCATTTCTAATAGCCTTCTGTCCAGTTCCATCTTCTGGGCATTAACGGCGTATATCTTGGCTTTCAACTCTTCAGCTCTCCCCTTCATTTCTGTGCTGTATTCTCTCTCCTTCTGTAATTTTAATTAGTTAAACAAATAACATTGCATTTTGACTAAATAAGTTTTTTCATATACAAAGGCTTGCGTTGTATCTCACCTGTACCCATAATAGAATTCCCAAAATATACTCAATTCTGACAAAAATTTGGGTCATGAAAATGTAAATTCATAGCAAATAAATGTCATCCCATTTCAGAACATGTGCTAACATAAACATATTATGAAATGAATTCATATATCTGATTTTAGGTCGGATGAAAAGATAATTCATGAAAAACTATTGAGCAAACAGTTGCTGATGAATTAAATGAACAGAAGAGGCAAAGAGGAAGTATAGTATAAAAGTTGCATGGTAATTAGACGAGTCATGCTGGTACACTGACACGTGGAAAGCTGCATGCATTGACAGAATAGTGAAGAGAGAGAGAGAGAGAGAGAGAGAGAGAGGACCTGTAAGAGAAGCTGAAGGGAGAGAAGATGAGTGTTCTTCTGTTGAAGGAGAAGGTTGAAGATGCGTCTCTCTCTTAGTCTGTGAACGGCCATTACCCCAGCCAACGCCGCCACAAATGCCAACATCAATATCAACCACCACGAACACCACCACCTTCTTCCTCCTCCTCCTCCTCTGTAATTAATCACATTGCTTCCACCTTTACTATAACATCCCCCGCCACCCATGATGTCTCAACTCACAACAAACTCGAACAGGAAACCAAGAAAACAAAAATGGCAACTATTCCTCTCTGATCTCTCTTTCCCCCACTTTCACAGAGAAGAAAGTTAACATTAACAGAACAAAAATGGCGACTACCACCAACTGATCTCTCTCATCTCTCTCTTTCTTCGAGTTTTAAGAGGGTTCTGCTGTCGCTTGTGATGTGAACAGAGGCAATTGATGGACATAAATATGATATATATATAGATATACATAGATATATATATATATATATATAGAGAGAGAGAGAGAGAGGGGAGTTAATTGAGAAGTGGGGAAGTATTTCCAGGCGTGAATTCTGGGGTCTTGGCTGCTTCTTTATTTCTTTTATCTTCTTTGTCCAGTCTTTTTCGAGTTTCAGTATCTTGTTTTTACCAAAACGCCCCTCTTTCTTCTTCAAATTAATCAAACAACTTTCCCACCATAGTCGAATGGCCCCGATACTAAAAAACAGAACGTATACTATAAACGCCCAGGCTCAGGCAGAGGCCCAGGCCAACGCGAGGCCAGTCACAGGCTGCGGCCCAGACTCAGGCCTAGGCCCCATGTTTAGGCCCAGGTCTCATGCCCAGGCACAAATGGAAAGCCCATATGAAGGCCCGACTAAGGCTCAAGCCCAGACTGAGAACAAGGCCCAACCTAGACCCAGCCTCAGCCCTGGACCGGGACGACATAGGCCATACCCAGACACTGGCCCAGACCGAGACCCAAATAAAGATCCAGGTCCATGTCCGGAGCCAGGTCCAGGCCGAGAGCCGGACCCAGGCTCAGATCCATGTACAGGCCCAGAACCAATAGCCAGCCCAGACAACGACCCAGGCCCAATATCAGATACAAGCCCAGGTCCAGATCCAGGCCCATGCGGATTCATGCACCAGGCCCAGATCCATACCCGCCCCAGACCGAAGCCCAGACAAAGACCCAGGCCCAGATCCAGGCTCAGAATAACAGGAACATCACAAGACCCGGTCCAGAAACAGGCCCATACTCAGGCCTAGGCGCAGGCCGAGATCCAGGCCCAGGCTCAGACCCGTTTCTAGGCCCAGATCATGTCCGTGTGTAGGCCCCAGGCTCGGGCCAGGACCAATAAATTAATTAATAATTAGGTCCGTGCCATGTTTTCTTCTTCATAACGTGCGCATTCTTTTTCGGACTACGCATGCACACCCCCACGTATATATAAATAAATAAATATATATATATATATATATATATATATATACACCCACACGCACATACACGCGGAATTCACCATAGGTATGCATTGAATTGGATAAGACCTTAAAAAGAAACGAATGTTGTTCATACATCATCTCTCTCTGTGACCTGTGAAAAGGAAAAATAAAATCCATCTTCTCTCCAATGTTTATAAATGTTTGGTCCCCATTATCTACACCAGACCAGATTTTCTGCAACATTATAGTAAGTGAATGATCTATGGATATACCAATATACAATTGTAGACGATATTACCCAACTCTTTAACTTCATCATGAACATTGCCTTTTCAGAACATCTTTGGATAACAGCGTCTGAAACAGATCTCTCAATCTCTCAGCGCCAGGACCTGGTCTAAACACTGAATCATCGCCGCGAATGGAGCAGGGATCCGCCCCGTTTTCGGAGCTCCCAATGCACCACGCTCCAGGTGCAAACCCATCTGTCCTGCCAAGAAGCTCTTTATCAATTTTGTCCAATACTGGGTCATCCTTGCGGAATTTCCGAGCAAATGGAGCCTTGCTTTTCACCATCTTGTCAAAATCTTTCATTGACAAAGAGATTGGGTGTTGCTTTGGAGGATTATCCCAAGCAATGTAATGAAGATCGTGGCTCACTGCAGTGCTTCGGAATACCTCATTGTTGCAAATAACAGTGTGAAAATAACCTTCTGGAGAGGAAATGAAGTTCGCATAATACATTAGGATAGTACGCGGGAGGTTATCCCATCCCCATATACAATACTCAAGAAAGGATCGTGTCAGCATTATCCATGCTGAACCTGAATGCAAGAAAACATGAATGACATTGATAAAATGCAAGAAAAATGCACAGAATGAAGATAAGCATGCTAAATTAAAAAAAAAAAAAACCATGGATAGCGTACTAACCTGTAAACAACTTGAAAGATGTCGGAAGTGATCTTCGCTGAGTAGTAACAGCAATGTCAGATTTCTTCGATAAGTATAGTCCAGGGTCAATAATGATTGGTTTTGCCCTCTGGTTTCTGCAAAATGGTAAGTAAATATCAGATGCCATCAGCATTCACATGTCAAGCACAAAGGAGGGAATCATATAAGGTGATAAGTTTGCGTTTTATTTGTTTTGCTTACAGTTTCCACCCTGTGATCTGAGAATGTTCAATGAAGTTAAAATTTCTCGACACATTTGACAATGCATATAAAAAATCTGCAGAATCAGAAAATAGAGCATTACGTTTTGCAAGCAGTCTTGAAGAGAAGTGTAAAAAGCCAATCTTGCATGGCATAGAGAAATGTGGGATTTACACATAAAAATTCTTATTTTGTAAACTTTTCTCCAAAAATCTAAGTGAAAAAGGACTGACCGATAAAAAGGTCAGAGATTTAAATTGTGTCATATTACCTGTCCAGGGTTATTTCAGCATAGTTATGTCTCAGTACTGTTTACGAATCTGGAAATAATTTGCCAACTTAAAAAGCAGAGTTTTGGGAAGTCTTAGTAGATTGTAGGAATGTTATTACCCTTCCTATTTCGCACATAATAATTTCATATCTAAGTATTCTTAGTGACTTTACCACATATGGCTTCTGACAAAATAAGAACTAGAGTCCTTAAAACAATAATGAAAGCATCTTTATAATTCCCATGTAAGCCAGATACCCTTTATGCTTTACAAATATTAACTACATAAATATCTAAAACAATTTGTATAAGTCCATTCTAGGATTCTGCTGTTCTGCATCAAATTCTCAAATCCCAAATGAACTGCATGAACACAGTTCATGCAGAAACCCATTAATAGATCATGATGGAACATCCATAACCAAAGGGTAAGGTAACAACAGGTTTCAGTATCCAAATTCCGTACATTTATTTTCTAAGACTGTAAAAGCTTCCTTCTGCAGAAGCCAACCATAGTTACCACCAACGAAAAATAAAAGGTAAAGTTGCTTCTTCCCTCAGAAAGTGTATATAATACTTCTGAGAGTTATGGACCATATAGACACACATTTTAAAAA